TTTGCAAATGGGCGTGATTTGGAAAACTGCAGAGGAGGAGAGCAGAATATCCAAGCAGCTTTGATTGCTTGCTTTTCCTTCCCAAGTTGAGGGTGTCTGCCATTCTTGTTGTCTAGAAACTTATGTTTGATCCATATCCTGGCATTTTAGGTAGCATGTACGTACTCTAGCTGCTTTCCTTTCTTTTTCCAGTCATAGTTTGGAAAAGCTCTTTCCAGCCTCATGGCCACCAAAATATGTAACAGGCAACTGAAAACCCTTTAGAATGAAATAATTTCACTACTCCCTGACCAACAGCTAGCTTGAGGCATGTCCCCAGGATTTCACCTTCTTCCTCACCTTGCCAGGCTCAAACATGAGAGCATCATGTCAGCTCAGGCGGATGTCTAAATGTTAAGGTTGTGATTGAACATGGACTGGTTTGGTTGTGCCAAAATTAAACCTGTAAAATGATAAGCAATTAAAAGCTTATGCCTAAGCCTTTCAAGATAGAAGTTTATATTTTGTTGCATATCCACATTAGCTGTAGGCACAGAGGAGTGAGGAAGGCAAAGTTTTAAGATGCCTGATGCTGGAGAAACCTGGAGGTTACCAAAATACTTGTTATTAATCATATATGGGAAACAAATTCAGTGAATCTGTAACCTGTACGAGGCAGCTGGGTTTTCAGATGCCCTTCATTTTTAGGGGCAGTAGGGACTAGAGACATTTTTGTGTAATCATGCACCATGCCATGCAAATAGAGAGCAAAATAGTTAAAAGAATGTACTCCTAAACTGATAAGTTTGTATATCAGAGTAACAGGATAGCAGAACTCCTTTAACATTTCTTTCCAGGAAATGCATATTTTCTAATACATGCATTGTATATATGTGTTACTTTAATTTACTTTATCTTGCATTTTAATGGTTTCACAATTTTCAGTGAGCCTAGACAGCATTGTAGTTTTGATAGGGGTAAGGGAAAATCCCTTTTATTTTGCTCAGTCAAATAAGTAAGAGACCGTTGCCTGTACTTGCTTCTTGAGGAGCAGAACTTGTTTGTTCATTGTTTCTAGGTCTTCCCTTTTCTGACTTTCAGCCCTATCTCAATCTCAGCTTCCTCTCCTCCTGCAGTTAATTACCATTCCTGGGTTGTTCTCTCAACTCCTTTCCTCTTTGGGGAGCTGTGTTCATTAGTATAAAACTCAAACCACGTAAGTCTTCCACCCAGATTCCCGCAGCTGTTATGTACTTTTTTTCCTTACTCCTCTCAGCATCTTTCTCTTCCAGCCTTCAACACTGCCTCTTGCTCTCTTTAGACTCCTCTACCCCCATGCAACCTGTCAACAAGCTCTTGAGAGTTGTTCAGACTGAGCCCCTACGATCTTCATTCTGGCTGCTCCCCGCATCTCGTACGAAGGCTTGGTTCGTAGCCTCATGTTCCCATCACCAGTTCCCATCTTGATTTTCTTCTCCTCAGCGTTGGCCTATGTGTGTCAGAGATGCAGCTGAACCCTCACTTTGCACCTGGTGCACCTGGTGCTGCGTTCCTGAGAGCAGCAAAACAGTTATTTAAATATTTTGAAATGTAGGGATGCAGCCTAATATTTAAAGCTATTGTCCTCTTGTTAACGTAGAGTAATGGTCTGATGGGATAATCTCCCAAGAGGAAAAATGCATACACTATAAAACATATTAATTAAGCTTCCAGAACATGTACAAGAAGAATAAAGTAAAGAGACTTCAGTGCTTCTGTTGACTGTGAAACAAAGATATCCTGAAGCTAGTGCTGACTCCAGCTGATAAATCCACCCACGTGATGCTGCATCTAGATGTGAGCTAGCATGTGAGGGACCAGCTCTGGAACCTCTGCACTTGCCGTGCAGTTAATCCACAGCTGGATAAAAATCAGTTGCATTAGATTCAGTAACCTGTTGATCAGTGAGCAGACCTGGCAATCTGTTGTGGATATCTCATGCTTTTTAGTGGCATTTCCAAATGAGTTTTCAGGGACTTTGGCTTTTGAACTCAAAAAGCCAAGTCACGACCGCTGTGTGGTTTAGAAGAATTGTGTAGTCAGTGCTTAAAAGAATTACGTAAGAAAAAGCTAACTAAATTTTCATTTCATTTGATGAGTTCCTACCAATCTTATAAAGCAAATGTATGCTAGAAATACACATTTGGTAGTAATTGTGTTTGCACTCAACCTGTAACTAATATGTATAACCTACAGGTATCGAAAGAAAATGTTTTTCATAACGATGCTTCACAAAAAAATTCAAAATTAACATTTGTTAACCCTTCTGAAGGGATGTCAAGTGCCCATGCGCACTTCTGCCATTACTCATATATCACCAGTGTGTCTTGAGTCAAATGCTTTTATCATGGATTAATAAAAGCTTTGACTCAGGTAGTGAATAAGAGCATAACATTATCATAATATTAACTTCACCTTTATCCAGAAAACTTGGACTACTGAGTCTGGAAAGAAAGCCATATATAATTTCTGCTTTATCAGCTAGAGAAGAGAAAACTGTGTAACTACAGTATGCACATCCTAAATCTTGCATATTCTGGATAAAATACTTTTAGAAAATCTAAAGTAAATGGAAGGACAAAGATGGGAAAAAAGCTCCAACTTAAGCATAGATTTTCAAGGAATTGTAATCTGGATTTTAAAAATCAATAATTTGTAAATAAAATGCAAAATTCTGCTAAATTTACTGATTTAATGGCTTTGGATGTCCTTTTGTAAAACCTAGCTTTAAAATCAGTTACATCTTCAGTTTGTTAGATGTGTAATTAAGGCATTTGAATGGTAATATTGCCTAAGGCCATTTCAGAGTTAACCAGAAAGTATTTAGGTGGTGACTGGAACATGTAACATTTCTGTAGAGAGTTTCAGCAACAAGTATTAAGACTTTATAGTTGACATTTAATATATCTGGTAAGTAGTGCTCTATGGTTTGAAGAAATAGCTCTTTGCTTTAAAAATCTGTTACAATATCATTTTTCCATATCTTGATAGTGCTATTTTAGTTATTTTCTCTCAGCAGTGTTATTTCCATATAAATAATTTAGATAGCAAATATATTTTAATTAAGGTAGTACCTTAAATTTGGGGTCAGTGGTTAGTTACTGGTTTTTGCTTCAAGTTGTAAAAAAACAGGAGAAAAACCTGATCTTAGTTACATCACCCTGAATCTGGAGTAACTGTCTGGCAGCTCCTAAGCAATATTTGTTTCTCTGATTAAAATCTGATGCATGGTGCAGAAAGTTTTATCATTTATTGCTGCTTTTTCTTCCCTCTTTTGTATATCCCTGTTAAGATGTTAATTCAGTGTATTTAGAGATATTTGTCTCATCATTTACGGATTTGTTCATGCTGATTTGAATCGTTGACAGGATTAAAAAGAAAAAACACTTTTTAACAAGTTATTTTGTACATATGATCCAGTATTTAAAAAAATCTCAGCATGGTATACATATTGCACTTTCTAAATGAGTTGGCAGTGCTTCTATCTGATGATGAGGTAGGTGTGTTTATAAAACAACTTTCTAGGGCTGACTATCACGGTAAATGAAAAATTACTTTCCTGGTTCTATACATTTTCTTCCCCAGAAGCAGTGAAAACATAAATCAGTTGGTAGCTAGCAGCTAACTGCTTAGCACTGACATAGTTTAGTCAAGTGGGGGCATCGTTGGTCTTTCACAAGTAGGTAATATGGCCAAAAGGATTTACTTGTTAAACTTAAGGGGCTGTGATGTAGTAAATTACTTGCTCATTTTTTATCTTAATTTGGGAACTCTCTAGCTATAAGGTGCATAAACAGCATGTTTGTTGTGTATGTATGCTTTTAATTGTATTACATTGGAAAAATAAGTGGGCTCAGTTCTTCCCCTATAATTCAGACTTTGGATTTATGTCAGTCAGATTCTGTCTGTTTAATTACATCTAAGAAGTTTTTAAAGTGATGATATTTTTCTGATGAAATGAGTGTGTATTTCGTGAAAATATCAGCTGCAATCAGTATGTTCTCCGCTGAATTTGAGAAACAGCGGACAGTCTGACAAACGCCAAATGCCTGAAATATTTTATTCCATTTTAATTCTTGGTTCGTGCTAACAAAAATGTTACTAAAAGTGCCAAAGTACCCTTTTGGGAAATGGTCGTTATTAGCTAATGATACTTGTTAGAAACCACCCTCTGATAACTATTTACTGCCGAAATTCCCTCTTCACGTAGAAAAACTAAAGCCTGGAAGAAGCAGCTCTTTGGGTATGGTTGGAAGTGGCTGCTTAGAAACACTGTGCCGTAATTACCTTTATGCAATCATGTGCTTAAACAGGAGGAGTGTGGCCGAAAACTTTATGCTGGAGCCTATATGAGAGGAATGCATTAATCATGTCGCAGATACAGCGACTTTGATCCCCACGCCGCAATGGTAGATCGCAACTCGTGGTAAACTCTGCCCCTGCTATGCCTGGCTTTTGATCCAGTTGCAGTGTTATCTTCATTAAAAGCAAAAGGGCTTGTGGGGATGCTTTTCCATGGCCGCATTTTGGGAAATCTTTTCGAGGGTGTGTGTATCACGGGCTGTGCAGGACTATGCTTTAAGTATTTCAGCACAGTGTTTCCACTGGTACAATTCTTGGCCTGTTCTCCTATGTAGATCTGGAATCCTGTATATCTGCATCCTTTGGAGAGAAGTGCCAAGGGCTACAACTGGAGATAATAACTTGCGATTTGTGTCTTTTGCAAGTTACAGTCATTGTAAACTGACAGCTGTGAAGAACCTAAACTCACATCAAAGGATACAGATCATCTAGTTAGGTCAATTAATGTTAATTCTCATCTTCCATTAAATTCTTTTATCTTCTTCTCTTTTTTCTTTTCTTTTTTTTTTTTTTTTTTTTTAGCCCAACACCAAAACCCATTTCTTTTTTTGGGGGGAACCCCAAATAGTCACTGCTTGTGTGGTGTTCTCTTTTTTCTTTTTTTTTTTTTTTTTTTGCAGCCAAGCCCAATACCAAGTCCTGTTTTGGGGAGAAAGCCAAATGCTAGTCAGTCACTGCTTGTGTGGTGCAAAGAAGTTACAAAAAACTATAGGGGAGTGAAAATCACCAATTTTACTACATCGTGGAGAAACGGTTTATCCTTTTGTGCAATATTACATCACTTTAGACCAGACCTAATGTAAGTTGTATGCTCTCTGTCTGTGTAAGCTAACCCTCCTAGAAATATGCAATGTGTAAGTTTATGTAAAAATCAAATCCCTGTTTGTTTCAGGTGTTGAACTGTTTTCAGCCTTTTTTTTTAAGCAGGGAACCATCCTTTCTAAGAAAAGAGACTTATTAATGCTCAAACTTTATGACCTCTTTGCTCTCCCTTGTTGCATAAACAATTGTTTCTCCCCTCTCTGTCATTTGTTTTTCTTCTTCTTAATCTTATACAAAGAAGAACTGACTTCAAGATGATTATGAAAATTGTGCCGGTGTTGAAATGAGATGAGAGGAATAAGCCTGTAGCTCTTTGTATACTGACAAGGACGGATTACCTCCTGGTAAATTTGGTTGTCAAGGCTGGCCTCTAGTCCCTGCCTTAACTTCTTTTTTAGATGGAAAGCTTCAGGCAATGAAACATGTAATCGGTGTTTATTTATTTATTTATTTATTCCTTTAATTTTCCACACTATTAGTTTTGTTGATTGAATTGCTGTGAAATTGCTAGTTACTGTATGATATTATTGTATGTCAAATTTTTAGATTCAGTTTGTTTTAAAAGTGCTGCTTTTATCAAATACTGTACATACCCACTGTGCCATTTTCCCCCTCAGTGACTACAAGTTCCTGAATCCTCAAGATATTAAAGAGAACAACAAAAAGGTAAGAACTGCCAGGAAAAAAAGGACATAGCTTCAATTTTGGCTTCACTGCAGGTTTTTATTAATTTTGGGAAAGTGTGGTTGTTTTGTAAGGTCATAACTGCGGCTCACAGAAGGTATTCAACCTCCCGCGGTTCAAATCGGATGCATTATTGACTCTAGTTTATCATGGTCTTTAAGATTCACAACAAGTGCAAGGCTGGCATTAGACTTTAATATTTGTATGGCCTACATTAACTGTGAAAGCAGAGGAAAGGGCTGGCCAGCCTTCTGTGATCACTCCTCTCATTTTTCCAACCAGCCACATAATTAAAAGAAATGAAAAGCGTAACTGCTTTTGGTTTGTCGTATGCAAGACTTCTCTTTCTGTTGCTTTAACGGGGCTCTGTGCATCGTCACAGTCGATGTTGCTTTGATGGTGATTTTTATATTTTTAAAGATGAAATTTTACACCTACTTTTACACTGCGCAGCTGAGTGAAGTAGCGGATGCAACATGGAAAGTTTAAGATAAAAAGTGTTGAGTCAATACTTTGGAAATAAACAAAATTTTAGCAAAATAGTTCATAGCGTTGTGCTGAGCAGCTGTTTTAAACCACTCTTTGTACCTTTATGATGCAAAGACATAAAAAGTTTCTCTGGAAGATACAGGAACTCAGTTTGGGAATCATCAGAAGACTTTTTATTTCTGCTCAGTATTTTAGACATGTTGCAAACTTTGGCCGAGCCCTAGAGACGTGTTTAGAAATTATAATTTTCATGTGAGTCACTGATAATAAAATTGTTCCTGAAGATCTCTGAAAATTGTTTTTAAGTTGTCTTCTCAATGCTGTGATTTTATTTTTATACCGCTTTAAAAACACTACATTGAATTGGGATGAAGGTATAAAAATATACTTTGGATAAATTAATTAGGTTCAATATTATATAGCAAATATAGCTAAAGAGTATTAGATTGTAGATATGTGGAATTTCTGAAAGCACTTTATTAAAATTAGTTTGTATTTAGGGTGATTATATTTTAATGTTCTTCCACACTTACATGTTAGCCAGAGAGTTACTTGTCATTAAAATAGTACTTAAGTATTTTAAATGATGAAATATCTCTGAGCTGCTGTTATCTAATGAATGATTTGGCCAATGATATCTTTTTCATAATAATATGGAGTCTTACGATGACCTAAGTGGATTAGCCGTGACATCACAGTGTTTTCTGTGACCATATGTTTTTGTACTTCAAGTTTTGTTGAGCGTCTGAGCTAATTAAGACGGATTATAAAAAAGAAAAAATAGATTATTAATTAAAAATGTTAGCGGTACGATCAGTCATCTTTTCTTTATGAAACTGTGATGGCAAATGGTGAACTTTTTAGCCCATCTTTCTAACAGGATATAGTTCCCAGGATTGAAGAAGTAATGATTGTTGTTATTGTGCAGTTTTTTTCTTTCATCACTTTGCAAGCCTTCGCCTGACAGCTACATTGAGTATCTCAGTTGCTTCCTGCAGATTTATTTCCTGGTCTCACACAGTTCTGCCTGATAACCCCGTGTGCCCTTGGTTGGAGTGAATGCAGCACTGGCAACAATGGCTGCCTATAAATTCCATGCAGATATGTAACACATTTGACAATGATTCCTCCTAACCAATTAAAATAACATCTATGGATGAATAGGACAATTTTCTTTGTCTGAAGCATCTCTTACCCCAACGCCCCCCCCACATCCCCCCCCAGTCCGGAAAGGAGGTAAGACTGGGACCATAGATTAAAGGTTAACCATAAGAGTATATCTTTTAGAAGTGCGTGACCTTGTTTGTATTTTAATAAAAAAAGAAGAAATCTTGAGACAACTATTTCAGTGCAATTACTGTGTATAATGACACATTGAAATGCACTGTTACAAAAAGCACATCATCGGAGTTTCTTTATAACGCGCACTAGTCATTTGCCAAATTGGTGCTGCCACTGATGCTGAATAAAAAAAGGTATTTACCTGTGACATCTGATCTTGGCCAATATGTCAGTGTGTTACATAGTTGGGAAATGGTTGGAATACTGCCTGTGGTGCTTGTGCTGATGGATCCCAATTGATGTCTGTCAATCAGCTTGTCAGTAAATTAAAAAAGAAAAAACTTCATCAGGAGATAGCTAAATAGGTTTAGTGTCCTGAATATACATACGTGTGTGTGTGTGTACATATTGTAATTTTCTACAATATAATTATATCTCTAAAAAAAAAAACCCAAAAAACCAAAGAAAAAACCCAAACAACTACTCCAGATTACATTAGCATTGGTCAGGATTCAGATATATTTTTGGTGCGTTGTGCTCATTGCAAATTTGAATTTCTGTGTGGAACAAAAGAGAAACCAGGGTTATCTTTGAGAAAATTAAACACATCGCAGGGATACCTTCCCAGCTCATCCAAAGAGTTGTGGTTCTACTTAAATGTCATACATATCTAACTATCCGTATTGCCTTCCCAATAACGTTAACCAACTAATTTTATTGGCTACGTCCATTTGATTATTAGTAAATAATAATGAAAAATGTGTTAAAATTACAGCATACTGGCAGTATAGTCCCTTATCAAGAATAGAAGTTTTTCATATTGCTAATAACATGTCCTGCACTTTAAAAATGTAAGCTACTAAACTACACTTGGCTGGAGCTTGGAGGAGATGAGAGGGCGAGAAGTGGAAGGGCACAACAGTATGGTTCTACTAATGAACTTCTGTTTTTAATTACTTTATTGTTTAGAGAAGCTTGTTTCATTTGAGGGATTATTGTGTGGAAGTAGTAATGTATCTTCTGGATGTTCGATTGGCACTTTCAATTTTTGTGATGCCTTTTTTTTTTTGGCTTTTTTTCCCAGTTTTTGACCGTTTCTACTAACTCCTCAATACATTTTAACTGGGATGATTGTCTTGACAAAATATTCCATTTTGCAAGGAAGGAATCCTTTTAAAATATACATTTAAATAGAAGAATTTAGAATTACAAGGATAGCATTGAGTCAAAATGGAAAAAATTCCTTACCTTTAAGCTGGCAGCCATATTTCTATAACAGGCGTTCATGCTCGCTTCTACTATTTGATTCTGTGAAATCCTAAGTACATATTTAACTGTGCGTGTAGGAGTTGCTTGTTGACCTTGGTAGGATCATGAAGGAACATAGTTAAACATGCATATAAACATTTGCAAAATCAAGGCTTAGTTATGCCTCTGTTTAACAAAAAGTAATTTGACTTGGAAAATTTACTCTAATACCATGTTACAAGCTAGTTACAAACTAGTTAGAAACACTAGGCATTTATAAATATACTGCAATATCAAGAAGCTCCCAGCTTTTCTAACGGTGAAGGAGAACCCATCACACACTGCTACATGGACACGTACAGAACATATGATTGCTATTTGTAGAACTAATTCCCATAAAACATTTGTGTGCCAATCTAGATATCTAGTGCGCCTTAAAAGCACAGAAGCAAGTATGTGTATTGTCCGGAATGAGAAGGAGAGGGGATAGGAAATAAGTGTCTGGCAGCAGTGGAAAACTATTATGTTTAGTCCCAAGTAGTAAAAAGTGATTGCAGCTGTCTTAGGAATATCCATCAGTCCAAATTCAATCCTGCTGCTGTAGCATTACCCATTCTAAGCAAGTGCCTTTCCTAACAATTCTGAAACACTGTCCCCACCTTCATTTTACAGACCCTGGGAGATATTCCTAGGATTTAGTTTTATTAGCATATAAATAAGAAATTAAGAGTATAAAAGAGTTCAGGTCAAGTCATGTCTATGGACTTTGGCTGCCATGAACTGCTAAGCCCATCCTTAGATCCTTTCATTCTTCAGATGGTAACTCCCACTACCTTCAGTGTGGGGTAACAGGTTATTTATGCTACTGAATCAGCACTGACCCACTTAATCAAAGAACAAATCCTGGTGTTACCTTTGGTCCACAGGACAACATAGCTGACTTGTTACGCTTTCATACCCAGCCTGTTTTCTGCTGGCATATGAGCATTCATCATTCCCGGTACCTGCCATGGCTTAGGTTGCCCACCCAAATCCCTGCACTGCTCTCCTTTAACTCTCCTTTCTCTGTGCTCCTCATGTCTGTTCGGTTCCACCTCTCTTGTCTCCCTCTCCTCTGTATCCAGCCTGATCCGGCTCTTCCAGCTCTGTGTCGCAAGACCAGGTAAATGACAGCTGTCCCTCTTCTACCATCCGAGTTCATTCCATTCCCTCCCACCCATCATTTTCCTGCTATTCTGCTCCATCTGGAGCTTTGTATCAGCAAATATAACATTCGTGTTTTCCACTGCTACTCCTAAATCTAAGCACAGCTCTGCTTTTATAAATGGCGTAACAATCTCTCATAATAAACCTTCCCAAGAAATGATACCCCACAAAGACCAGCAATGATTTTAGGCCAAATCATTTTGCACAGGGAGAGCCAGAAGGGCTTAAAAATAAATTATTCAGATAATTTTGATGTCTACATAAACTCTCTGAATCATTTGTTACAGAGCTATAAAAATTACTTCACCAAAAATGCTTTGGCAAGTTATACCTGAGCATGAGGGGAAGCATACAAAATTTCAGGCAGATAAATTTCAGCTCTCAGAAGCAGAGTTTGAAAAGTGGCTGAAATGAAAACTATTTGACCCTCAAGTAGGGAACGACTCCAGTACATTGTAATGGGAATGAGAGAGCCTCCTTTTCTCAGAGCAAGTAAAATAACCGGGTCTGCCAGGAGCCGGCCAGGCCAGACCCACGTTCTAACTCACTGTTGAACATTTATGTATGAAAACCAAGAGGATAAAAAAATCTTAATTGATTTCTCTTTTGTTTCTTTCTTCCACCCTTCTAAAACTATATAAATTAAGGAAATAGTGTAAAACTGGGGTAGAGTTGAAGCCAGCGATGTGTGTTATTGTTTCCTTGCGAAAGGACAGGTTCTCATCCATGTCTTAGGTTTAGCATCCTTTTTTCTTCAAAATAGTGAGGGAACAACTGTGAACATTTTAGACCCCTTCAGAAGAGGGTGAAAAGGAGCTGTAGAATTACTGGGGGAGGAGAGGTCCGAGTCCTTTAACTGGGTGCATTTACACTAACAGGAGGCCTTTTTAAAGGCTTCCTTGAAACACAATATTGTCTTCCAGGGTTAATCCAGGAGAGTAATAATTAATTGTAAATTGAGAAACGGCTTCAATTCTTCAAAACTAGAAAAACCTGATGCACCAAGCCCACTCACTTAAAGGGCTAGCAGAAAGAAGACAATGTGGCCTCACAAAGTGGGAGGCTTGCAAACTGTTTAGCTTTTAGAAATTAAAGTGAAGTAAGAATGAATTTCACTCTCTTATTCGTATAAATTTAGCATCAACAAACATTTTTAAAAAGCATTTGTTTGCTGGATTAATATGATTTATGTTTTGTATCAGGTAATCTGTGGTGATGTTCTTTTTGGCTATCTGGACATAGTTTTCATCAACACAAATCACTGCAATTATATGACCAGTAGAAGGGAGAAGGTCAATCACTAGTGATAAAGCCCAAGATGGATTAGTGTTGTGTTTCTTCTATCTTTGTTCCTTATCTTAAAAAGCCATCCTTACTTGCTTTTTTCTGGTCCAAGTCCTTACACTTTTTTATTTGCTTGTTTTCCTGCTACTTGAGTGAGAACCATTTAAGATATTGGTAGGTTTTCTCAGTGCAAACAGAAGGGCTTTTAAGTTGCAGTTTCATGAACATCTTTTTACTCATGAAAGTGGCATCATTGTGAGTAACCAAGGATTTTATTATTGTGTGGCAGAATGTTAACAATATTTAAAACAATGCAATTTGAGTGTCTTTACTGGTCATATTCTCTTGATTTGCATTGCTATGAAGATACCCTGGGAGATATCTAGAAGCCATTGGGAAAAATCAATGAGTTCAGATTGGATTGTGCAACAAAAAACAGTAACTACTATACTACTGTAATGAAGCCAAAAGAATGATGAGTAATAGAGTTGAACCCATACGGTAATACTGGATATGCTTTAGGCTTGCTTATTTTGACTGAAACTTCCACTTGCATTCTTCAAATGTTATGATATGTAAGAAACTGCCACATTGTAATCTTCCATTTTTTCTGTTTTTAAAGGCATATGATGGGTTTGCCAGTTTAGGAATATCGCGATTGCTGGAACCTTCTGACATGGTTTTATTAGCGATACCTGACAAACTGACTGTTATGACCTATCTCTATCAAATAAGGGCGCATTTCTGTGGCCAAGAATTGAACGTGGTTCAAATAGAGGAGAACAGTAGTAAAAGCACATATAAAGTGGGTAACTATGAAACGGACACAAACAGTTCTGTCGACCAGGAAAAATTCTATGCAGAGCTGAATGACCTGAACCGGGAGCCCGAGCTGCATCCTCCGGACAGTGCTTTGGCAGACTTCGCTTCTCAGGATGACTCTGTATTTGTAAATGACAGTGGTGTTGGCGAATCTGAGAGCGAGCATCAGACTCCCGATGACCATTTAAGCCCAAGCACAGCTTCCCCTTCTTCTCGCAGGACTCGAAGTGACACAGATCCACAAAAATCCCAGCAGAGCTCTGGAAGGACTTCAGCATCTGAAGACGTTGGAAAGTGTACCAGTACAGATACAACGCAAACGCAGCCAACATTGGGAAGGAAGAAATTGCTGATAGCTGACACTTTAGACTTGAGTGACTTGACACATGTCAGTGATCAAAAAGAGGACGTGTCTCCCACAGTTGCTTGTGAAGATAACGACAAGAAGAGACACCAGAGCTTAGACAGTACCATTGGTTTCTCAGAGCAAGAAAAGCTGGGACGTATAGGATCCACAGAGAGCACAAGAGCAGATCCTGGTTCACCTGTCACAAAACCGAGTTTATCTCCTACTTCTAAGCTTGGATACTCCTATAATAAGGATATGGATCTTGCAAAGAAACCGCATGCTTCTCCAAGGCAAACAGAATCTGATTCTGACAGCGACGCCAGAACAGCTTTAAATCATGCAGATCAAACTGCAAAAACAGCCCAGGTAAGAAACTTAAACTTTCTGTATGCCTGTGAGTCAGGATGGAGATGCTCTTCAAGTTCTTTCTCCATGTTTGTAATTTACACCATATCTTCAGTATAAATGCAAGGTGGGAGGTGTATTTTTATTGTTGGGCAATAAATACTTTGACTAGAAGTAGGTGATGCTAGAAAAGAGCCGTTACATGAAAAATTCATTTATAGGAATTGTCCTACTGTTAATCTTTCCAATCTCTCTCCAATTAAAGGAAGTAATGTATTCTCAACCAGCTCAAAGAAGATGCTTTCAAGGCTTTTGCCACCTTTCTTCTGAGTATGGCATGCTGAAGCACAAATTGGAAAAAGACTTATCAATTCATTGGTCCAAATTCAAAAAACGTAGTTTAGAATACCTTAAAAAATACCAAACATATTTCCAAATCTTATCTGAGAAACCACATGGCCTTGTGAACGTAGCCCACAATGGTGAGGCAGAAACTCCAGAATGTTAAGTTATGCTGTTCATTGAGTGGCCTCGAGCACGTTACTTAACTGCAATATCATTTCCCCGTCTATCAAGATAAAAAAGAATATGCCCACCTACCTTGCAGATTTATTGTGAGGATGAAAGTTGAATATTCTATAAATGCTGCGTATTATCAGTAAATAGTATCATCACAAAAATATGTAAAAAACCTTATCAGCCCTGTTTACAAAAGTGCCAAAGCATGCTTATAATTTTATCTCTGTGAAGAGCTTTCTTGAGTTTTGGCTTTGTTCAGCTTTGTGCTATTAGCTCTGATAAGGAAAGAATATAGCCAGTCTTTTGGTAGTGTGGGTTGCTTCAAATATTTTTACATTTTTTCCTAAGTAAGTGCCATAAAGATTCATTTCATTGCAAGAGAAGCAGTCCATGGATGGGTGATAGTGGCCAAATATTACTCCAATGGCCAGCTAATTTCTTTCCTTTAATTAGTCAAGTCTCATGAAGTTTCTCTTCATCATAATCTTTGTGTACTGGATGAGAAAGGAACGATTTGGCCCATACAGAATAATAGAGCAGAATGAGACAGGATGTCTTCTCTACGAAGATTTTCATATGCAAGATGTAATAGGCCAAGAAAATGGAAGAGATGGCTTTAAAGATGGTTCTCTGTTGTTAATCTTCTGTGCATTTGCACATGGTAATAAAATCTCACATGTGAGCCTCAGTCTTAACCTTGAACGCTCAATCGATGGTTAGAGTCAACCACCTCAATTTCCGTGTGGTTGTTGCAGGAGCACAACCTGCAACATCTGTTCCAGCTCTGCCTCGTGTAAAGGCCTAGAGATGCATTTTCCCAGAGCCTTCACAGTTGACCTTGACTAAGAAGTCAGCACTTGGGAGTATATATGTATGGGAGCTGCTCGTGTTGCCTATGCAGAAGCCCCCCCTTCTGTTATTTCTACTCTGCCATATAATCAGTCATCTGTATGAAGAAGGGACTTTCTTGTGGATATTCATAAATGAAGTAGAAGCAGATATTTTTGCAGGTTTTTTGCCTTGTACCTGGCCTCTTTGTGTTCAATTTAAGTTATAAATGAGCGATACCCATAGGAGTAGCCAACGAAGCGTTATATTTGCATACATATTAAAGTAAATATGTAAACACATAGCACATTTAACATAGCTTCCATGAAGCCAATTATTTTTTTTCCACAGTTGCAGTTTAAAGGCATTAAATGTTGATAGAAATTAAGTTTTAAGGGGAGGGGAGAGAACTCTTATTTACATTATAAAGGCCTACGACTTTTTTTTAATTTTGCATTTTGGTCATCTTTGCTTTTCATTTCTATAGAATGCTCTGTCACCTCATGAAGCTGTAATACATGCGACTCCTGACCTTTATTATATAGGAAGGCTTCTGGCTATTAACTACTGTATAAACAATAAGTACCCTGAGGCTGCCTTACTGTTAATTATATTTCTTTATTTTTAAGCAACGAATGTTGTCAAGACAGGAAGAACTTAAAGAACGAGCAAGAGTTCTGCTTGAGCAAGCAAGAAGAGATGCAGCTTTAAAGGCAGGGAATAAGCAGCTAACCAATACGATCATCCCACCCCGCAATAAGCAGCTGAATGATGTAAGAAATATTGGCCAGTATGGCAGTTTACATAGTTAAAATTTATTGTATGTGCATATGCTTTTGAGAGGGGCATGTCCTTGCAGAATATTTCTTTTCCACACTGAATTGCTCCGATGTGTCATGTACCCTTTAGTTCACTTTTAAAGACTGTTTCTCCTGCTGTTAGGAACAACTGCAAGATGCCTTAGACTTCACTGGAAGCAGAGATCTGGAAGCACCTTCTTTGATTGGCACTACAGTTTCTAATGGCATGAAAAACTTGTTAACTTGTTACTTGTTAAATGATAGTGAAGTAATTTATGCTATTTTTGATTACTTCTCTTTTTTCAGTTAATGTAAATACGTTCCCTGAGCCTGTGATGTCAGCTACTTGCTGCTTCATAAGTGTTATTGCAGTGAATGAAGGTGCTTGTGACAGTCTTGTAAAAGAGTTGATGGAACAATTCCTTTTTATCACTGAAGCTGATTATGCTGGTGAGATGGGAAAGTGGAAATGGGGAATGAGCTCCAGTGTTGAAGCAGCTATGGTTGCACCTCCAGTGTCCTCCCTGGTGACCTGGAAGGATCTCTCTGGAGATGAAAGCTAATTAATTTTTATGCAAACCTTTGCAATGCGGGTTTTGTGATTCTAACTATTAGCATTAGAGACTGTACTGGCAACTGAGAATGTAAATGTAACTGCAAAATATTGATACAGAGAAAGGCTTGAATCTTTACTGACTCACATCTTTCAGAGCCCAGTCCTGAGGGGCAGATTCTGCTTTTTACATAAATGGGATCATACAGTCAAAAAATGAAGACAGTGATTTACATGTCTCATTTCATTCTCTTAACTGTCTTGGATTCATGCTGTACGTTTTTTTCTTAACAATTCCTCTCCCCAAAATGACACTTCTTTTTTCTTCAAAATATATTCATATATGCAGACAAGTCTTATTTGTGTAATGATATCTAAGCAATTTTTTTACTACTTTGTGTTTAAGTTTCTCCTAGATAAGTGTGTTTTAGTATAAATTTCATTTTGGATTTTTTTAAATTATTTTTTCATAAAGCAAATAGCATTAGAGGAGGGATACTATAGGCAACTACTCAGGCAGGAACAACTGTAATTAAAGTTGCCCAACATTTTTTATTACAAGCTCCTATTTTCAAAGGTTATACAACTTTGCTGGTATTTCATTGTTTGAGCTGAAATTTTCCCCATCAGCTCTCTGCCTCAGGGTAGTATTTATATATATATATTTTTTTTACTTAAAAAACCCCAACTTTTCAACTGTTTCTCTGTATTAGGTTGGATAAAGCATTGTTTTATCCATGTTAAACAATGTCTTATGGGAAGAACTTTCCATCCCCTTGAAAAATCTGTTCAGAACAATCACAGTTGTGTTAATAGCACAATCTTGTCGGAGAGCCTTGAAGTTCAGAAAAGTTGGCAAGTGTCAGTAAAAATTGTCTATATGGACACAGCACAGCAAGAGCATCTTTTACGGTTGCTCCCCTAAGGATCGGAGACCATTCTGATGCAGATCATAGTATTGGAAAGCAAAACTTTCTCTTTTAGACTTAAACTCCTGCTGCTGAAATCCAAACAGGAGGAAAAGGAGCCACCCCACTGGCATGCAGAGGAGAGGTGCCCTGGGTAGGTGGAAAGGAGGTAGATGGCAATGTGAAGTAAGACTAAAATACTGTGTCTAGGCCAAGAAAACCAGCTGAAGGATAGAAGATGGGGACAGAGTTTTCAGAGTGAGAGTCAGGATTGCATAGTTCAGGCAGCCGGATTTCCCATGGGACCTTACTTCATTTGTTACAGAAGCTGAAAATGAATGGGAGGCCTCCAGGAAAGGGAAGGGCAGTCTTTTAGGGCCGCTCTGCAGAGCCAAAGTTTCTTCCTGCCTCCATCAGAAGTTCTTTACGATGTTGGGAAGGTACCTTCAACCCAACATACTCAAGGTGGCAGATTCCTTGATTTCTGATTTCCAACCCAGGATTCCTGGGGACTGATTTCTGGAAGCTTGAATGCACCCAGCTGTAGCCAAGTCGAGGAAAACCATGCTGTGAACAAATGGTCCTGGCCCCTCCGAAATCCTGGGTGCTCTGAGCAAACAGGTAATGGGCACTCTTGACTTGAGTTGACCGTAACCTAAGAATAACAAGAGCTCCTCAGCTCAGAATGATGTTGTGGAGATGTAATTTGGAAACTCTTAGATATGATAGTGAAGAGTGCCACAGGAATGCTCTGGAAGCAATGAATAATTCTGTGTTTAGGGAAAAGTTGAAGTCGTGTATTTTAAACAAGGTGTAGGGCAGGCAGTGAATGATAAGGATAAAGTGAGATATTGAACAGTTGTTCATTCACTGAACACTGTCAGTCATGGCCACTCAAAAAGACAAGTATCCTGTAGGAAAAAAAAGTTTGAGTTATGCAATTAAAGACTACACGAAATGAGAAACAATGCAAGGTTGTATAACTAGTGTAGTTTCGACATTTTCTAACTTTTGAGTGCTTGACTTGCCAAGCTCAGCATTCTCCTAATGCATTTCAGTGGGAAGCGGGCATTGTGAAAGGGGAGTGTCTTTAATGGAGGCTGGTATAGTGTTCATATTTCACATATTATATAAAGTTGATAATATATATTATATAGAGCAGTATATAACATGTACATATGTTATACATACGTTATATACATAGCCATACATGTGTATGTTCTGAATGAGGACTGTTGTGGTTTAACCTCAGCCGGCAACTAAGCACCACACAGCTGCTCGCTCCCTCCCCCCTGGTGGGAAGGGAATCGGAAAAGTGAAAGTGAGAAAACTCATGGGTTGAGATAAAGGCAGTTTAATAGGTAAAGCAAAAGCCGCGCACGCAAGCAAAGCAAAACTAGGAATTCATTCACAACTTGCCATCGGCAGGCAGGTGTTCAGCCATCTCCAGGAAAGCAGAGCTCCATCACGTGTAATGGTTACTTGGGAAGACAAAACGCCACCATGCCAAATGTCCCCCGCTTCATCCTTCTTCCCCCAGCTTTACATGTGGAGCATGATGTCATACGGTGTGGGATATCCCTTTGGTCAGTTGGGGTCAGCTGTCCCAGCTGCCTCCCCTCCCAGCTTCTCTTGCACCCCCAGCCTGCTCGCTGGTGGGGTGGGGTGAGAAGCAGAACAGGCCTTGACTCTGTGTAAGTACTGCTCAGCAGTAACTAAAACATCCCTGTGTTATCAACACTATTTTTAGTATAAATCCAAAACATAGCTTCACACTAGCTGCTATGAAGAAAATTAACTCTATCCCAGCCAAAACCAGCACAGGGATGTAGGTATGCATCAACCTATATAGATATAAGATAAAATACATTGATTTCAGATTTTCTTTAATGTATTTGATACTCATTGGGGAGGAGACCTTTCCATTTGATGTAGTTATGCCAGTTTACTACAGGTCATTGCTTATTTGATTATTAGAAAATACTACAGACTTATTTCTATTCTGTGTTTTCTGGTCATTAAGGTTAATAATAAGAACTTAACTCAAAGCAGTGTTGTATGTGTTAGTGTGCAGTAATGTGTAGTAGTGTGTTATCCAAGTAAGAGTTAGGATAATGAGAATCAGCATTTAGTAGTGGGGCTTGGACTAGGCTCTTTTTTGGGATGGATTGAGAGGGATTCAAAAGAAAATGGTTTGAAATAGGAAGATCTAATTTTAAATAAGAAAACTTGAAAGACAGAGTCCAGGGTCAATGCTTTCAAAAGTAACTCTTGAAGTTTGCAATTGCACTTTTTTTGATACCTTCATGGAAAGAGCTTTAAGCAGCCCAGTCTTTCAGAATGTGCTCTGAAAATCAGTCACCCCAGCTAAGCTAAGCCTGCAGAGTCATTAGTTACTTGTGAAAATCTTGTCTCATAGGCTTTGCTGTTACCACTTTGCATTTGTCATATGAGAACTATGAATCACTGTTTTCTTAGTAAGCAAGTGAGAACAATATACAGTGCGTGGGGTTGTATTGCTGCTTGAGGGCAACAAAAGGGAGGAAATTTCCAAGTCTATTCCATGGTCATAAATACGGGTTACTTGGTAGGTGCTCGCCTGATTTGTTTTGGTAAAAGTCTTTTTTGAAAAAAACAGTGTTCCTGATTCTCCTCTAAGCATAGAGCAAATACTTTAGACCTTCTTCAGCCTAAGCCTTACCTTTCCTCTGGTAGAACCAATATTGTGTTATTTTTTTCGGTAGTCATGTACTCTGGGCTTGCTTTTCTTCCCCCCGCCAATCTCTGTTGTCTCCTTATTGACCACTAACTGGCCTCTCATGAAGTATTGGCTGTTTTCCCTTGACATGTCTGTTCTCTTGGCAGTTTACCCCTTTTTCTTGGGTCTTTCTTCTTGCTGCAGTGTGCTTCCATCTTCTCATGTTTGTGCTCTGGGGTTAGGCCCATGTCAGTATTCTCACTTGCTTTACTTTTTTTCTTTTTAACTCAGAAAATGATGAAGTTGTGGGAGCAGAAGATTAAGGCACTGAATTTGCTCATATACCTGTTAACTCAATCCCATTTTCCTCTGAATCGCATATTTCTCATTGCATCCCAAGCTGTATCCTCTTCCCCTTCTTTACTTTGTGTCTTCTTTCCCCTCTGTCAGACTTTCAGCTGTCTGCCCTGGCCATTTCAGCTCCCCTTCTTCTCCTTTTTAACTTTTCTTTCTTAACACCCGTTCATTTACGCTTTCTTCCCTTGGACAACTTCCCTCTGTGCCTTCCACACCATCATCTTCCATTCCTGTTCAACCCACCTGATTTAGACCCATGATTTTCTGCTTACTTCCTCTATTTGTATCATATTAGCCCCTTTTCTCCCATTTCTTCCCTACTTGCAGCATGGGAGAAGTTTTTTCACTGTTAGGTCTGCTCATTTGGTGCTTCTCAGAAGCCTTCAGTCTGCAAGCTGTATGCATGCCAGCTTGTATGGAGGTATGTAAGCCCATAGGCAGGTATTTGAAGTCTAAG